CACCACTGGGGCAGTTACCTCTAACAAGTGGTCTCACGAGGAAGGCTAGACACCTAGTAGCACGCTAGTAGGCTTCAGCGGGTGGTGAAGGAGGAGTTAGACTGAAAGGAGGCTTCATCTCTGTCTTCTCTCAGACCAGGGAGCAGGAAGTCAGTGCTTCAATGTGAACCTCTCACCTGCCCACAGTGAAGGCCCGCAGTTAGATCCAAGACCCGGATGTTAAGTCTTCTCTGTGGTTACCGATCAGCCAAATGTCACATCTTTTCTGAAGACACTGGGAAGGAAGGTTGCTTAGGTTTATATGTCAAGGATCATTTGCAAAGATTAGGAGGAGCACTGAGCACAAAGGGTGCTACCTATTGAGTTCCTAACCATAGGCCAGCCGTTCAAATCCACCAGCTACTCCTCGGGAGAAAGATGAGGCTTTCTGTACCCGTAAAGGTCTGCAGACTTGGAAACCCACAGGGGCAGTTCTACCCTGCCCCACAGGGCCACTGGGAGTCAGAATTGACTTAATGGGTTTGTTTATGTTTGCAGAGATTAACCGTGTTTAACAGTTTAATCACAGCCTGCCGTGGCAGCATTAACTCCAAGACTGTTTACATGCACCAGATCCTCCACATGTTTCTATGGCCAAGTTCAGAATGTTTCTAAATAACTAGGGCACCTTGGTGGCTCAGTGGTTATGTGGTGGGCTGTGGTCTGCATGGTTGGCCGTTCGAAACCAGCTTCCCCTCTGAGGGAGCTAGATGAGCTTTCTACTCCCACAGGCAGTTACAGTCACTGAGTTGGTATGGACTTGATGGCCGTGAGTCAGGACTGAGAGGTTTCTAACCATTTTATGTCAGGTGCGCTGTGGTGCTGATGGAGAAGCACGGGGCTGCTAACCTCAAGGCTGGTGGTTCAAACACATCAGCCAGTGCATAGAAGAAAGATGAGCCCTCTGTGCCAGTAAAGAGTCACAGCTGCAGACACCCCGCATGGGGTCACAATGAGTCAGGGTCCACTTGTTGGCTCCCTCACTCAACTCACTGCCATCAAATCCATTCTGACTCCCAGTAACCCTATAGGACAGGGCAGAGCTGTTCATGTGGGTTTCCAAGGTAGCTCTTTATGGGAGTGGAAAGCCTCATTTTCCTCCCTCAGACCAGCTGGTGGTTTCGAACCACTGATCTTGTGGCTAGCAGTCCAATGGGTAACCACTATGCCACCAGGATTCGAAGGCAGTGGTGGGTAATACAAGAGACCTCACACCTGGAGGCCTATTTGTATTTCTGCGTCCATATTATGAAGTGCATGCACAAAGGTATTTTGAAAGCAGGCCAGTGCCTCAGAGCTTCTGTGTTTTGAAAGCATCGTAGAAACACGTAGAATCGTTTGACTGCAAACGTACAGGCTGTCGGCTGAAACCCACCAAGTGGCACTGTGGAAGAAAGGCCTGGTGATTTGCATCCATGAGGAGCAGTGCCAGGCTCACCCTCAGGGGCAGTTCTGCTCTATCACAGACGGTGACGTGAGTCAGAACTGACCGGAGAGCACGGTTTCATTTTTTCTCTTTTAGTAATTACCAGGATCGAACCCTATCCCATGTGGTTTTAGGTGTTGTTGTTTTTTTTAATTAGCATCGAATGCAGATTGAAGTGAAAATCTTTTGGCTATATTGAATTAAATAGAATATAAATTAAAATTTTCATAATTAGAAGGCTTAGACACTCTCCTGAGTTGTAGGGCTGGTTGGTTGAATATTGGTTGCACATTGAAGTGATCATCTTTTGGCTCTATTGACTCAACTAGAATATACATCACATCACCAAAATTAATTTCACCGGTGTCTACTCGTGAAACATGGCTCCTGGAAAACATAAGGGGCACCTTGGGTTACGAGTTGGGCTGCTAACTGCAAGGTCAGTGGTTCAAACCCACCGGCCGTTCCGTGGCGAAAGACGAAGCCGGCTGTTTCCATAAAGCTCTGCTGGCTCAGAAGCCCTAAGGAGCAGTGGGTTTCTGCTTTGCCTCGAAAGGGTCATGAAGAGGCAGGCTGCCCTGGTGGCAAGTGGAAGCGGGTTGCTGGAAATGTTCAGGTCCATTGTGCTGTGCCCGTTTCTTTGCTTCCTGTAATCCACTCTAATGGCATAACGATAATAAGATGTCAACATCTACCTGGTCCCTTCCTCTACCCTCATTGGAATTGTATTCCACCGCCCGCCCCCACCCCCACCGCCCCATTTTTCTCCTTCGTGCCTCTCACCTTTGACCTGATGCAGTCTACTTCTCTGTGTCATTTACTGCCCACAAGTATCAGCTGCACAGGGACAAGGATTCAAATCTCTCTTCTATGCTGCCATATTGCTGGTTCCTCCATGAGGCCCTAAGGTACCCTGGTGGTGTAGTGGGGTATACCTTGAACTGCTAACCTCCAGGTCAGAAGTTCAAGACCACCAGGCCCTCTGAGGGAAGACGAGGCGGCTTTCAACTCCTATGAAGAGTTACCGTCTCAGAAACTCAGAGGCAGTTCTACTCTGTCCTGGTGGGTGGCGCTGTCGGATTCTCGAAGGCAGTGAGCTTGGTTTGGGGGCGGACCAGGGCCGGGTTCCCAGCACTGCCAGTGTTTGTTAAATGAAGGAATGAACCAGTGATACAGATTTGCTCTGTTGGGTCAATACTGCGCAGACTCTGACCACTTAGCCCCTGCTGGTCCCCGGGACACCGTGGACTCCTGTCAAAGGGCAAAGTCCTATCCTGCCAGAGAAAACGACATGGCAGACGCAGCATTGCATCCAGTCTTGGCCCTGAGTCTGCAAGACTCCAACTCTGCTGCTTCCCTGCTGCCCTCAGCATCCATGTCCCTACCCTGGTAAAAGCCTTAGGGTCTCCTCTGGAGACACACTCCTCCCATTTTCCATCCATGTGACTACAGCCTCTGGGGCAGGTGGGGTACCTGTGACCCAAGTCAGGAGAGACCTCTTGGGATTGCTTGGAACTGTCCTAGAAGAGTGACTCTCTTATTGGTAAGTCAAATTGATGGCGTGGATGCCTGCCTGGGAGGAGCCTGGTGGCATAGTGGTTAAGCGCTGGGATGTTAACCACAGTTAGTAGTTCAGAATCACCAGTGGCTCCTTGGGAGCCTTCTCCTCCTGTAAAGAATTACAATCTTGGAAACTCACAGGGGCAGTTCTCCTCGGTCCTGTAGGGTGGCTCTCAGTCGGCACCCACTCCAGGGCAGTGAGTGATGCTTGCTTGGAAGTTTTCAGGGGCGCTGTGCAGCACTAGGATAAGAAGGAAGTCCGCAGAGAGGACTGAGACATGAAACATCACTTTCGCTTCCTGGATCCAGCCATGCCTGAAGTCCTGAGCTTGGAAGCTACCCACCAAAATCGAGTCCTCACTTCTGTTTCCATCAGGCTGAGGACTTCCACTTCCTAGCCCACGTTGAGTGGGGGCATATCGTGCACGCTTGTGGGACTAAGGGGAGGGGATCCGTGTAGCCTGTGCTTTTCCAAGTGGCCAGCACAAGGTTCCTGCTGGCATTCTAAGTCGGATTCGATTCCACCTCTGGTGCCCCTTGGGAGGGGATAAGCTAACACATCGAAGGGTGGGGACCAAGCCTTGGCAATTCAGGCTGGTGGTGTCTGCAGCTGCGGGCAGGGGTTTTCTCAATCTGGGGCAGTAATAAGGTGCCCTCATTGTCAATGGCTAAAGCCCTTAGCTGGTAACCCAAAGGTCAGTGGTTTGAATGCCCCGCGTGCTCTCTGGGCGAAGGATGTGGTGGGTCTTCTCCCACCAAGATTTACAGCCTCAGAAACTCCATGGGGCCTTACAACAAGTCGGAACTGAATCAACAGGCGCAGAGGGTTGGATTGATTGTTGAGTTTGGGGCCCGTCTTGGCCCAGCCCAGAAGCTCACCATATGGCATGTTCGAACAGAGCACCTGTACAGATGTGGCCAGGGGCAAGGAGGGGAGGGGCAAGCGTGCCGCTGGCTTCCTATTGCACCGGGGCCTCTGCCTGAAAGTCTTCACAGCTCAGGGGCGTCAACGTCTCCAAGATCCATCTAAGGATGGACATGCGTGCTGCAGCCCCTCAGCCTGGGACAAAGTAAGTCCCAGCTGTCCCACAGACTCCTCCGGATTCCAGACTCCACCCCTACCCCCGCCCCGCCCAGTCCTGGCTTCCTCCCTTCCTTGTTTCATTCCCTCCCTCCCTCCCCCATCAGTCATCCTAGGATCCCCTCACAAACAAAGAACATGCCTTTGAATTTTGCCTCAGGTTTTGTGGGGACACCAACTCAGACCTGCTGGTTCCCAAGTTCTGTGTTCTTTGCTCAACACCAAGGGGAGCACGGGACAAGGACGTATACACAGGAAGGGGGCTCTCTAGACATCGGCGGCCTTATCCTAAATTCTGGGTCCTCAAATCCCCAATATCTTCACACGCCATGAGTTAGTTTATTGTGCCAACCTGGCCGATAAACACAGGTGGGGTTAATTGAAGGGCGGAGAGGTAAATGGCTCAGTGAGCCTCCTCTTTCTAGGTCTTGGGTCTCTTGCTTTGTGATGATTGGACCAGGGTGCAGCTGCCTTAGTCAGTTTCCTGCTTCAGCTGGCAAGGCTGACTTCCTGCAAGACACCCCCAAGGAGAAGCCACATGGACCTATCCCGATGCAGCCCTGGGTGCTGGAGCAGCCGTGTGGAGACCCCTGCCAGCGCTGAGATGCTTACACATCCACTGACTCGGCTTTCCTACTGCAGTCAGCATCATTGCGTCTGTTTTGTGAGATGGAGGAGGACTTTGTGGACTGCTGTTGGACATACGGGTTAACTGGTGAATATTGGACTTGTGGGCTTGGGTAGCACTGGGTGGGGGTGTTTTCTTGATGCACACTTACCCTTTATATAAAACTCTCTCTTATACATTTGTTTCTGTGGATTTGTTTCTCTAAAGTATCTAGACTATTACACGCCATTTGACTATGAAAATTTATTAGCTATGTCAGGGTGAATTGTGGACTCAGGTTGGTGGGGGACCATTGACATAGCTGAGCACCAGGTAGGGCGTCCAGGTGAGCCAGGTGGGAGGGCAGCAGAGGTCTCCTGACCTGGGCCAGAGCAACGTGGCCCCCACCAGAAGACAGACGAGGAAGAGGAGGATCAGAGGCCACCGGGCTGTCGGGGCAGGTTCACTGCAAAGGGAAGTACAGTGTGAGGTGGGTGGGTGGGCTGCCCCAGAGCTCTCAAGCCCCGAGCTCACCTCCCAGGCATCTCACCCAGAATCCACCTCCAATATCACATCCGGAGACGTCTGCCTCTTCTTCACCAGAGGGTAGACAGCAGCCGGCAGCTGGAGCAGGGAGAAACACTTCATATGGGATCTCCCTCGCTACCAGAGGAGCCTGGGTAGCTTCATAGGTTAAGTGTTGAGTTGCTCACTACAAGGTCAGTGGTTCAAAACCACCAGCCACCCCATGGAGAAAAAAAAAATGAGGCTACCAGAAATCTGAAGGAGTGGTTCGACTCTGCCCTCAAGGGTCACTTGGAGTTGGAATGACCTCAAGGGCAGTGGATTGGGTTTGGACATGCCCGGCTGGGCTGTCTTCCCCCTCTGCTAGCACAGCTTCCCCCCCAGAACATATCCAAGTCTCCAAGGCTGTGAGACTTTCAATCTCTGTTCCTGGTGACAGGGTTCCATTTGGGGAGGGAGGGGAGCAGTCAGGCCTTGGGGCTCAGTGGGTGCAGCTGACTCTACTCGCCCCACCCTCAGGACTGGATCTGGCCAATCAGAGGATGCCACCAGCCTGGCCACTATGGCTCGGGCTGGGTGCTGGGCCCTGGGAGTCAGCCTTTGGACTTTGGCTGCTGCCAAGGTGCATGGCATTGTTCTTCCCTTGGGGAAGGCGGACCTGTGGGCAGGGCGCTGGTAGCTACACAGATTTTTTTTTGTTTTCTGGGAAGGGAAGCACCTTGGGGAGCTGGTGCTGGGAGGGAGGGCCTACACTCTAGCTGTCTTTGGGGTTCCCTACTCTGACTTCTGACTCTCGCAAGCAAACAAACTCACTGCCATCGAGTCGATGTTGACTCACGAGGACCCTATAGGACAGGGCAGAACTGCCCCCATGGGTTTCTGAAACTTGATGGGAAGGGAAAGCCTCAGCTTTCTCCCACAGAGCCACTGGTGGCTTTGAACAGCTGACTTTGTGGTTAGTAGTCCAACGCATAACCTCTATGCCACCAGCGTTACCCAGACTTCTCTGTTACATGAAGAAGAAAAAAATCTCCCCACTGTGTGTGTGGTGTGTGTGTGTGTGAGAGAGAGAGAGAGAAAGAGAGAGAGAGAGAATCAGTTTGGGTTGGTTTTCTGCCACTTGCCATCAGATTTCAGAGAGCTCTACCTGGCTGGGCACCAGCTCACCTGAGACTTCAGGATCAGGGACCGTCTTCGGTGACCTGCTAAGTGGTTTCGGTGGCTGAGGCCCAACGTGAGTGCGTCCTGGGAGGAGAAGGAGGCTTGGGAGTGTTAGTGAAGCAGCAACAGAGAGGCATGAGGCTGGGGAGGGCTTCAGAGCGGGGCAGGTCATAGGGATGAGGTTCTGGGGCTGAAAGAAGTCTCAGGAGAGAGGGGCAGAGACCAAGAAATGGAGAGAAAATAAATGTTATTTATTTATTCTTCAACAGATAATTTATGAGGGTTGGTTACAAGGCAGACACTGTTCTAGGAGCTGGGGCCACTACAGGGGTAGAAACAGGTGATGCCTCTTAAGGCTCCCTGGAGCTTACATTTTAGCCAGAGAGAGAGAGACCCTAGCAGTAGTTCTCAACCTTCCTACTGCCGTAACCCTTTCATACAGTTCCTCATGCTGTGGTGACCCACCTACCCCCAAACATAAAATTATTTTCGTTGCTACTTCATCACTGTAATCTTGCTACTATGATGAATCGGCGAAAGGTTGAGAACCGCTGCCCTAGATGAATGACCAGCTGGATTATATGAAGATGTGGCTCAGTGCTGTAAGGAAAACAGTCAGAGGTAAAAGAGGGATCGTGTCCGGTGGCCAGGACAGGCCTCTGAGGAAACGACCGTGGAGCAGGGCCCACAGCATGAGAGGAGAGGGAGTGGGCTAGGGTTGCCCTGGCAGCTTTGAGATGGGAGCGAATATGGAACATTCAAAGCGCCAGGTGGCTAGTGTAGTGGGGTCAGGGATGGGGAGAGTGTAGGAAATGGGAGGTACGATACAGACAGAGAAGTGTGAGCAAGAGGAAACGCAAAAGACAAAGACGAGCATGTGGAGGGAAGGAGGGAGTGAGGAAGAAAAGCACTGAGACAAGTCAAAAGGAGAGACCAAAAGTCCGGGAGGGGGTTCGAGACAGGCCAGAAGGCGCCTTGAAAGAGAAGGACCCTGCCAGGAGACACACAGAGGTGCCCTGTGGGTGCCCAAGGGGCCAGCACTCCCCACTTCTCACCTCAAACTCTAATCCCCTGCCCTCAGGGCCCCTGTGGCCACACAGCTCACAGGGGGCCCCGGGTGTTCCAGCTGCCTTTTGGCCCAAGGGCCTAAGGTTCCCTACGTCCCCCGCTGGGTCCCACTCCAGTTCCGCCAGGGTGGGAAGGCCACCAGGGCCTGGCCCATCCGAGTCCCCTTCGGCCTCCAAGTCGTGCTCCAGCCTGTTCGCTTCCTCAAGCACCTGGATCGGAGGACAGAGGTCATGGGTAAGGTGACCAGACATCCCGCTTTTGGTGGGACAGTCTCACTTTTGAACAATTTTTCCCACGTCCCACGGCATTTTTAAAAAGTCCCGATGTTTGGAAAGAATGCACGACAAGCTAGGGTATACGGTTTTCGGCTGCCATGTGGCTATTTTGCCAGGATATGAGTTTTATCAATGGTGTCCCGCTTTACCAATGTTAAAATCTGGTCACCTTAGTCATGGGGGTTGTTGGGATTGGGGCCCAGGCCAAGGACCATGAGTCTGGGGCACGTGAGGCTGTAGCTGACCGCTCGAAGATACCACCTTGGCCTCCAAAGCCTTCAGGACCTGCTCCACAGACGCCTGGCCCATCCGCCTGTGCCAGCCCCCCACTGGGCACCAGCAGTACACCCACACACTCAGCTGCCCATGTAGGTCTGCCATAGACTGAGCGTATGGTTGGGCATCACCGTACTTAACACTGAGGGTCCAGGAGCAGAGCTCTGGGTTAACATCCTGTCTCTTATCCAAAGACTTGGAACACGGGGAGTCCCTTAATCTCCCACCCCAAGGACCTCAGCTCCATCCCCTGGGGCCCTGCCCACCTTCCCAGATCCTGACCTCCCATCAGCCCACCTGCAGCTGGACCATACACCCACTCTGAACTGATAGCCAAGACCCCTGGCCTCAATGCATGACCTGCAGCTAGAAGCGTAGTCCAAACAAGCAGAGGTCCTGTCCTGCCTCTACTACCCGGGGCCAGAGATGAGGTACTAGGGAGTAGAGAGGCCCGAGGCTGGGCCAGTGGGCTAAGACCTCAAAGGCCAGCCCACACCTGCAGGCACCCTGCTTCTGGGTGTTTTCTCCGCATCAGAGTCCACCTCTGGGTCTGCACCAGGGCTGGGCGGTTCCTACCTCGGGTCCCTTCCAGCGGAACCAGACCTAGAGACTCTAGTTGAAGGTCTCCAAGTGCAAGGCTCCCAGAAACGTGGAGATACCGGGTCTCGGGGCTTAGACAGGGAGGGAGCCAATGTCGAAATGCTTCTCTCCCATTTGGTGAAATACTGAAATACTTCTATCCCGGCTGGTAAAGAGCCGTTTCCCAGAATCCCTCCCCAACAGATGCCTGGCATCTTTCCAGACCATCACCTCTTCCCTGCTGTAAAGGTGAAATTCTGGGCAGTGGGGGTGGGGTGGGCAAAGAGGAAGTGGGGGCTGACCCAAGAGGCCTGTGTCACCTCAGCTCACCTCACGGTATCTGCCCCAGGCTGGATCCTCATGGGAAGAGAGCGTTGGCATTCTGGGGGGGCTGGTGGCAGTGCCTCTCAGCCCACCCTGGAAGTGGCTCAAGAGGGTCCAAGGAGTGCTGCCCCCGTTCCTGGGCCTCCCCTGGCCTGGGAAGTAGGGGGCATTTGATGGACCTCTGGGTGAGTCTCAACGCTCCCCTCCTCCATCCCTCCCCACCTCTAGCCCCAGCAACCTCTGATGCCCAGGCAATCGGAGTCACCTCTAGTTCAAAGGGCCCTTGCCCCTGTCCCCACCCTCTTGGGACCCTCCCCCCCTACCTTCCCCCCATTCCAAAGCCCCAGCCCCCACACGATTCCCTCCTCTTCAGACTCAGAGCAGGTGGTACACTCCTCAATGTCTGGTCCCCTATGTGCTCCTGAGGAGGGGCTCTGATGGAGGTCCAGGGTCTGAAGGTTTGGACAGGGCCACATGGGGGCCCAGGAGCAGTCAGGGGAAGAGCTCTCTCTCTCACTAGTCAGACAGCCCCCAAGACCTTCTCAGTGGAGCTTACCTAGGCCCGAGGCCCTCAGAGAAGCCTGCACACACTGGGCTCCATCCCAACCAAGAGGAACTTGGACCCAGGTAATCTGATGCCCAGCTCAGGTGACAGAAGCTCCACTTAACTCCTTCCTTGCCAGGCTCCCCAACCACTCCATCCTGCTGAAGGTTCTGGCTATAACTCTCCCCTCCCCCCAGCACCTATCCGATCCATTGACGGTCCCAGATGCAGCACTCCTCTTATCTGGCCCCCAAACCGAAAATTCTCAAACTCAATAGAAAAGAAAACTTTGGTTTATTGGGAGTAGAGTCTTCATCTATGGTTCCCACAGTTACTTAGAAAAGAAATCACTCCAAGGGCAGCCTCTGCCCCAGGGTTCAGAGGCTACGTGGGCAGGCGCACAGGGGTCCCTGGAGAGTCACTTGCTGAGTAGTAGGCCGGTGCGCAGCACGCGGGGTACCCGGCGGATGGTCAGTGAGACTCGGGTGCCACGCACCAGGAGGGCTCCAGGCTGTGCCAACGGGCAGGCGGGTGAGTTGGGTGGCAGGGAGGCGCCATCCAGCGCGTCCACATGGGTGGCGGCGATGCCGTGCAGCAGGCGGGTGTAGGCCGACCCTCGGAGCACCAGCAGGCTGCGAGGTTCCAGCAACAGAGAGGTGGTGGGCCTGGGTGGGGGCCTGGGCTGCCAAGCAAATTGCTGGTCAGCAGGGGCCCCAATGGTGAGGGTGGGGAGATGTCTGTTACCTTTCTGGGCTAGGGACCAGCTTGCTTCCAGGGGGTGCGAAAATCAGCAGGTCCAGGTCCGGGGTCAGGGAAAGGGGGCGTGAGGGGGCCAGCAGCTCTCAGGAGGGCGTGGGGACTGAGCTGCAGCTGCCATTTCTGTGGGTCAGCAGCCCCCAAGAAAGCAGACATTGCTGGTAATGGGGGGAAGGGGGGGGGGACACGAGTGAGGCATCGGGGGCAGACAGGCCAGGGTGCCCAGAAGACTTTCTGTAGACACAGGGTGTCCGAAACGCCTCACCCAGTAAGAGGTCAGAAGCTGCCATCTTGGGTGACCCCTACAAAGCGGGGCTTGGCAAGGGGGCCCCCTAAGCAGCAAATCTCGGTGCCTAAGAGCACCTGGGGCTGTCCTTCCTCTTTGACTGGCAGCAGGGAGGATGTTAGTGTTGGGGAGCTCTGTGCGGTGGGGAGTCCAGGTGTCAGGGGGGATGCTAGAATCTACCACGAGAGAACCCATGGGGGCCTCGGGCTGGGGGCAGGAGCTATGTGGGGTGTTGGGGACAATCACCGGGCAAGCGGGGGCACTGGGGCATCTGTGAAGGTACTCTGCAAGCAGACAGGTTGGGGGCATACATGTACCCTCTGAGGGGGCAGGAGATATTTTAGAGTGTTTCTGGGGGAGGGCTCAAGCATCTTGGGAGAATGCCCCCCACCCCACCTCCGAGTTGGGGCAGTGGCTCAGAACCCACCTGCTCCAGGGTGTCGTCACTCTCTGCCTGCCGCGGCTGGTAGAGATCCAGCACAGTGTGTGAGCCCAGGCTGATGGTGCTGATGGTCGGGTAGTACAATGGTCCATCTTCATGGGGCTGGGGAGTAGGCACCAAGGCTGGCAGGGCAGGAGGCC